ACAACCACATATCACTAAATGTCCTCAAATCTTTGCCCAGCTCTAAGCCCTCGAGAAACTATTCAGCAAGGTCTGGAGTGTGTATGCCACATTTTCTAATGACAACAAGAAAAATGGGCCTGCTCTGGCACAACTACGTGTCCGGTACTCTGCTTTCATTCACATATTGGATCAGATGTGCAAGCTCCGGAACAAGGCGGAACAAACAGCACACAGAGAACTGTACAAGTTGGTGAGCTGCAACCATTAGACCACCTGTGCTGTACGTTCTCAAACATGGTTCCTTTTCCCAAGTTCCCGGCCTTGTCTATCGTCAATGGCACCATTGAGAGTCCATGCAATAAATGCATGCAAGGGCCGGAGGAACAACACTGCACATAGTTTAGCTTGTTAGTGCCGGGTCTCCCAGTCAAATAATGGTGGTTTAGAGCCGGTCCCCTCAGTCAAATAATCATATCTGACGGCGGGGCTCCCTATGCTAGTACTAGTAGCCGGGGCTAGCAGGTTGACTGTAGGGACTGGTTGCAGGGTGTGGCTGGGTAGAATACAGGTACTGTGGGGTATCTCCCGGGGCTCACAGTAGGGTACTGGGTGACCATATACAGGTACTGTAGGGGACCAGCCGTGGCTTTCGGTCATGCATAGGGCAATTGTATACTGGTACTGTAGGGGACCAGCCGTGGCTTTCGGTCATGCATAGGGCAATTGTATACTGGTACTGTAGGGGACCAGCCGTGGCTTTTGGTCATGTATAGGTCAATCGTACACTGGTACTGTAGGTGACCAGCCGTGGCTTTTGGGGATGCATAGGTCAATCGTATACTGGTACTGTAGGTGACCAGCCGTGGCTTTTGGGGATGCATAGGGCAATCATATACTGGTATTGTAGGGGACCTGCCGTGGCTTATGGGGATGCATAGGGCAATCGTATACTGGTACTGTAGGGGACCTGCCGTGGCTTTTGGGGATGCATAGGGCAATTGTATACTGGTACTGTAGGTGACCTCCCATGGCTGTCAGCAGGTCATAGGGGTTTCATGCATAGCAACAGATCATTGGCTGCTGTACAAGTATATCAGGGAATACACACCCATAATCCCAATGTTGCAATAGGATTTAATGGCATTGTACAATTTTACACTGAAAGATCACGTCAGG